TGTGCGCGGCCCAGCGGGGGGGGGCCAGGGACGTAATGAAATGAGAAGAGGCGCCATGAAATCTGGGGAAATATCATGGCCCCCGCCATGATATCCACCCCCCCACCCTAGTCATCACCCCCCTCTTTTCCGCTCCCGATATATATAAATATATATATATATATATATATATATATCATCCGGAAGGGCGGGACACCCCCCCCCCAACCAGACCCCCGGATGTCTGGCCCCGAGGGCCCCCGGACCTCTGGTCTCGGGGGCCCCTGGACGCCCGTGCGAAAGGCTTCCCCGGAATTTCCGGGCCCCCTCGACGTCCCCCTGCTGGGCCAGCGGCGGCTCCAAGGGGCCCCCAGGCCGGACCAAGAGGGCCTCCAGCGGCCCCGGACCCCCACCTGACGCCCGAAGACGGCCCAAATGTCACTCCAAAGAGGGCCCAAGAGGGCTCAGAAACTGCCCACAGAGGGCCTCATGACGGGTCGAAATTGCCCCAGGACGCCTTCCAGAAGCATTCAAGCTGTGACCCGAGACCACGATTCGCGGCATGGTGGCCCGAGGAGCCCCCCAGAGGCCGCCAAAAGGCGCCAGGGACGTCTCCAGAGGCGCCGAAGAAGCTCCTAAAAAGCCTTCACGAGGAAGCTCCCCTCGGAGGAGCGTCCACAAACAAATCTGAGGAGTACGAGGGGAGAGTTCGCGGTGCGATGAAGGCGAGCACGAGGAAGAGGAAGAGGAAAAGGACACATGAGGGAAGGAGAAGGAACAACAAAATAATAGCGGTGACGGCGAAAACTGCAAGCAAGAGCGATCGCTGTTTTGGTTCATATGCCTTTCTCTCTCCCTGCCTGCATGCTATACGTGCAGGATCAAGACGCATGGCGTGAAGTGCCAATGCAGTTTTGTCTACACACATAACTATAGAAATGTATAGATCAAAGAAGAAAGCGAGAGAGAGAGAGAGAGAGACAAAAAGAGAGAGAGAAAGAGAGAGAGAGAGAGAGAGAGCAAATAGCAACCATTTGGCACGCACGTGAGTTTACCGTTCGAGCTGCGCTCACATAATCCATCTGAGCAACAATGTAGAACAGCAGCGAAGAATTTACGGAAATACGATCTGCACGAACAGATTCGTAAGAATTGTCAGACCTCGCCGCTGGTGGTGCATCGGGACAAGACAGCTGAAGCGGAACTCGGAGCAGGGGAGAGGGAAAGGGAAGGGGGAGAGGAAGAACTGGCTGCGCGTTGCCACTCACGAGGTGGAGGCTACTGCGGCGCTAGAGGCGCTGCACGAGCTCTTCGCCGAGCCGTTCTGGGGAACGGGCCCCGTCAAAGGCCCTCGCCAGGAGACCGAAGACGGGTAGACGCTCTCCCAAGCCGCCCGCAAGCGTCACGAGGCCAGCCTCAACAACGGCGCCAAACGCGCGCGCTCGACGAAGCCTTGCACGACGCCCGCAAGGCAATCTTCCGAAATCGGTTCGCCATCGTCATGATCCTCGAACCCCCCCCCTTGCCCGGCCGCCACGGCGCCCCAGCAGGCAAGCGGAAGCTCACCGCCATCTTCGGCACTGTCCCCGTGGACGAGCCCACTGTCATGGCAACCCCTGGCAAGGGGGAACCCGAGCCACTAAGACGCCGCAAACCTCAGCGAACCCACGTCGGCCCCACGAGCGGCGCTTCTCATCCTGGTATTCCTGCTCTTCCGCGGGAGCAAATGCTCGAGGAGTCGGAACCTCGTCACCTCTATTCCTCCCCAAACCTCCGTCGAGTCGATTTGCTCTGGTCGTCGGCCATCCGATATCTTGATCCCCTGGGCCCACCGTCGCATCCAGGGAGTCGTTAAACAGCGTGGGCCGAAGAGACGGCCCCAAAGGCCGAGCACGACGACAAATCTCCAGAGCGATGTCTTCGAGTCGCCAGAAGTCTAGGTCCTCCAGAGGGCCTCGGATGTCTCCAGGGACAACTCAATAATATCCCAAACTGCGTCCTCCCTCCCCTCCCCCCCTCCCCCCCCTCCCTCCCCCTCCCTCCCTCCCCCCCTCCCCCCTCCCTCCCCTCCCCCCCTCCCCCCCCTCCCTCCCTCCCCCATCGGCCCGGCGGCGCCGGAGTTGGCCCCGCGCCCCCCGCCGGGCAAGCGGGAAAGAGTCCGGTCTGCTATAGGCCGCCTGCGGCTCAAGTGCCGGACTTCCCGGCGAGGGCGAGGGACGGAGCGGAAGACGGACGACACGACGACGAAGCAAGGGGCACCCGCGGAGGCGGGGTGGTGAAGGGCGAAAGAGGCCACGGAGCCAGGAGACACAGGAGAGCAGGGGTAATTGGTGGGACGACGAAGGGGGGGAGGGCAGCGCAGAGAGCAAGAGGAGGAGAGAGGGTGCAGGCGCGAAACACGCGCAGCGGCCGGGGCGGGCTCAGTCCCAGGTTTGCTGCGCCGATCCTGCCCCCGGCGCTGGAGACGCCCCGCCGCCCCCGCCGGGCTCGGCGGCGCCCGGCCCCGGCTGGCTTGCTTGCCCTGCGTGGGCCCAGGCCCCCGCCAGGCCGAGCACGTTCATGCCCAGCTGCGCCGCGCGCAGGGAGGTCTGGGCCTGCGCTCGCTGGAGCGCCGTGGCGATGCGCCTGCACGCGCTCCGCATCGCCACGACTTTCTCGTCCGGGGGTAGCGGCGCGAGCAGCGCGCGCCTCAGCGCCAGCGCGGACGGCCCCATGCGGCCCCCGCTGTCCAGTGCCAGCGGCACGAGCTCGGTAGCGGGTCCGCTTGGTGCGCTCCAGCGCGAGGGCGGGCCCGCCGTCCCGCGAGGCCGCGGGCCGGGCGACACCGACCCGCTGCCGCCGTGGTGGCCGACCGTGACGCGCCTCCTCGCCTCGCCTCCTGCTCCTCCTGCTCCTCCTGCTCCTCCTCCTCCTCCTCCTCCTCCTCCTCCCTCCTCCTCCTCCTCCTCCCTCCTCCTCCTCCTCCTCCTCCTCCTCCTCCTCCTCCTCCTCCTCCTCCTCCTCCTCCTCCTCCTCCTCCTCCTCCTCAGGTCGAGCCGCGCCTCGCGCCAGTCGGGCATGGCCCACTGGGGGACCACCTGTTCCAGCTGCGGCGGGGCCCCGAGCGCGTCCTCGAGCGCGCGGGCCCACGCGTGTTCGACACGCTCGTGCCGGCCCGTGTGGCCTGGGCCCCGGGGGGCGGCAGAGCGCGTGCGTGGCCAGCTGGTCGTGCTGCGCCTGCGCTGAGGACACGCCAGCGCGGACGCAGACCGCGCACGTCAGGGGCAGTGCCAGCCGGAGGTGAACCACCACGGCGAACTCATCGTCAGGCATCCGCTCCTCGCCCTCCTCCGCAGGAAGCAGCCAGGCGCCGGCCCCTGGCCCGCCCGCCGCCCGCAGCAAGGCCCGCAGGGAGGGCTGGAGCTCGGCCAGCAGCGCGTCCCGCGCGGTCGCCGCCAGCGCGTCCCGAGAGCCGCGGCAAGTGCCGTCGCTGCTGCATTAGCCCGACCCGCGCCTCCATCCTTCCCTCCCTCCCTCCCTCCCTCCTCCTCCTCTTCTTCTTCTTCTTCTTCTTATTCTTCTTCTTCTTCTTATTATTCTTCTTATTATTCTTCTTCTTCTTCTTCTTCTTCTTCTTCTTCTTCTTCTTATTATTATTCTTATTCTTCTTCTTCTTATTCTTCTTTTTCTTCTTCTTATTCTTCTTATTCTTCTTCTTCTTCTTAGTATTATTCTTCTTCTTCTTCTTCTTATTATTATTAGTATTATTATTATTAGTATTAGTATTATTATTATTATTATTATCATTATTACTATTACTATTATTATTATTATTATTATTATTATTATTCGTCTTCTTCTTATTATTATTATTACTAGTATTACTATTATAATAATAATAATAATTAGTATTATTATTGTTATTATTTTTCTTATTACTCTTATTATTATTCGTATTCTTATTATTCTTATTATTATTATTAATAGTACCCTTCTTCTTATTAGTATTATCATTATTATTATTATCATTCTTCTTATTCTTCTTATTATTTTTTCTTATTCATATTATTTGTCTTCTTATTCTTCTTAGTATGAGTATTCTTCTTCGTCTACTTCTTATTATTAGTATTATTTGTCTTCGTCTTCTTGATATGAATATTAGTATTATTAGTAGTATTATTATTAGTAGTAGTACTAGTAGTAATAGTATTCGTGTTTTTATTACTATTATTATTAATCGTATTATTCTTCTTAGTATTATTATCATGCTGCTAATTATTATTTTTATTCTTATTACTATTAGCATTAGTATTAGTATTAGTATTAGTATGAGTATTACTACGAGTATTATTAGTATTACTACTATTCTTATTATTATGTGTAGTGATATTCTGATTCTCAGTATTATTAATATTAATGTTCAATATGCATATTATTCGTATTATTCGTATTAGTAGTACGATCATTATTGTTATCATTAGTAATATGATGTTCCTTAGTAGCATTACTAATATGAAGCTCTTATTATTCGTATTCATATTATTGTTAACAGTATTAGTATCATTCGTAGTATTAGTCTTAGTATTATTATTCTTAACATTAGTATTATTATTAGTACCAGTCGTCGTCGTAGTAGTAGTAGTAGTAGTAGTATGATTCGTAAAATTGGTATTCGCATTCTTCTTCTTAATACTAGTACTATTCTTTATGAGTCTTCTGATTAGTATTAGTATTATTCTTTATATTAGTATGATTAGTCTTATTATTATTCGTATTATCAGTATTATGATTCGTCTTATTCTACTTCGTATAAGGATTATTCGCGATTATCTTATTATTCTTATTATTAATAGGATTGGTCCTCTTCTTCGTATGATTACTATTCTTAGTATCATGAGTATTAATAATAGGAGTTGCATGTTTAATATTATTTTAAGTATTAGTATTATTAGTATTACTAATAGTACTATTATTATAAATAGTATTAGTATTATTATTTATCCCTCCTCCTCCTCCTCCTCCGCAAGAGTGGCCCCGAGCCAGAGTAGCCTCTGGTGCGCGGTTTGCAAAGCGGTTTGCAGACCGATCGCTGCATGGGATTCTGCAGTAGCCGCCTGCATACCTTGGTTTGGCCCAGGGCGGCGCCGCAGGCACCTCCAGGGGGGCCCAGCGCCGATCCGAGAAGTCCGCGCGGAGCCCCCAGAGTCTGCATCGATGCCATGCTTCTCCCGTGGCCCTGCGGCACACTGAACACCCGTCTGCTTCGTGGCGATCCGGGCGGCGGCGGGGGGGGAGAGCCGGCTCGTCGTCGTGGAACATGTGCCTGCGGAGCGCGTGGAGCACCTCCTTGGCGGCGCCGGTGGGGGGGGGGGAGAAGGGGGGGGGAGGAGGAGGAGGAGGAGCAGGAGGAGGAGGAGGAGGAGGAGGAGGAGGAGAGGAGGGGGAGGAGGGGAAGGAGGAGGGGAAGGAGGAGGAGGAGGAGGAGGAAGAGGGGAGGAGGGGGAGGGGGAGGCGCAGGCGGCAGCGCGCGGGGGCAGAGAGACGCCGCAGGCGGTGGCCTTGGGCGGCGGCCCAGGCGGCGGCCCAGGCGGCGGCAAGCGGCGAGGCGGAGCCTCCAGAGAGGCCCACCAAGAAGCGCCGTGAACGCATGAAGCTACGACGTTCGTCAAACCCTCCTCCTCGTCCAACACTCCTCCTCCTCCTGCTCCTCCTCGTCTTAGCAGATAGTAGTATTAGCTTCTTGCTGGCACTATTCATCTTATCCTTAACATTATTGTGATGAGTAGCATTATTGCTGTTATTATGCTTCCTCCGCCCGCTCCTCCTCCTCCTCCTCCTCCTCCTCCTCCTTCTCCTCCTCCTCTTCCTCCTCCTCCTCCTCCTCCTCCTCATATTCCTCCTCCTCCTCCTCCTCCTCATCCTCCTCCTCCTCCGCTTCCTCCTCCTCCTCCTCGCGGATCTCGCGGACCTCAGGTGCGCCTGACCAAGCCGGGCTCAACCGACGCGCCACTACAATTAAGCAGGGACCTCAAGCGCGACCAGCCACAGAGGAGGGGGAAGAGGGGGCGAGGGCAGCGGAGACAGAGATGGGGAAGGACGAGAGGGGAGAGGGTTGGCCCAGCTTGTGAGGGGGTCCCTGGGAACAGCCCCACGAGGAGCTTCGACCGTGCGGCACGCTTCTCAGGGGGCTGGCATCCCGAGGGCAGGAGCTTGCTTGCCTCGGCGACGGCAAAGCCTCCGCACTCCACCCAAAATACCACGGACACGTCGGCCGTGGCTGGGAGGAGAAGGAGGTGGAGGAGGAGGAGGAGGAAGAGGAGGAGGGGGAGGGGGAGGAAGGGGAGGGGGAGGGGGAGGGGGAGGAGGAGGAGGAGGAGGAGGAGGAGGAGGAGGAGGAGGAGGAGGAAGAACAGGAGGAGGAGGAGGAAGAGGAGGAGGAGGAGGAGGAGGAGGAGGAGAGTAGGCTCAACTCCCGCCCAGTGCAATGTGTGACTCGAGCCCCCTTCACCCCTGATGATCGAAGCAAGCAACGGGTTAGGGCCACCACACTGAGCGACTGTCGAACTCGAAGTCACGCGCAGACACGTGCGGCATCTCGTGGCCGCACCGTGGGGCACAGGGTCATGCACGGGCCCCCGGGGGGGGACGGGGCACCTTGGCCCTGGGGGGCCGAATTGACTTACCGTCGGGGCGTTGACCGAAGGAATCCTAAATAAGGAACGGGGCCCCTTTCTCCCACAAGTTGAACTTCGATCTCCCATCGAAAAACTCAGGAAAACCCAGGCCACGCTGCAAAACAGTCAAGGAACACCGAGCCCCTCCCCAACGAGAAGGGTTCCTTCTTCAGGGCCCCGACTGTACCAGACTGGGCCTGACACGAGGGGAGGCCTTCCAAAACGTGGACGGGTCCGGCAGCGAGGGCCTCGCGGCGCAGGATCCCAGAAGGGCAGCGCTCCGTGCTCGGCATCCCAGGGGCTCTCTGGGCACACTCTGGGGGCTGCAAACTCCTCGCTTGCAAGATCCCTCAGGGCTCATGTCTACAGCCGCAACTCCAGCCCCGGAAATCCCAGGCTGCTCAAAACAAAAGCACGGACCATCCGAGTACAGATCGTCATCAGGGTCGAAGACCACATGGTCCGAGAGGCCCCCGCGGCTGTCGAAAAGCAACAGATGCCAATATCCAGCAGGTGGGGGGGATCTGGACTCGCTGGCCACAGAGTGGAAAACGGCAAAAATCCTAAGCAATCATGTCGGCTCCGAAATGCTCAGACCTGCGCTCGGCTATGTCGCCGTAGCGGCACTCCCAGACCCGCCCCCACACGGAGTGAGTAGCGGGCACGCGCTGTCCACATCGTAGCCCCACGCCTCAAGAGCACCTGAACTTATTTGGCGAAAAACAAGTGGCCTCCAGATGGCGTCAGGGCTCGCGCCACACGTCTCACTCTGCTGGCCCGGCTAACTGGCACGAACACCACAGCCTTTGGGGATAAAGAAAAGCGGCATCGTCCCAACAGACACCCACCACCATCTCGCCCACGAGCTCAACCACGACAAACACAGAGGTATCCCAGGGGCGGTGTGTTGCCCCAGTGAAGGGGAGCATCCCACCATGCGTCGTAATCCAGTCACAGGAAAGACGTGAGACTCCGCGGCCCACCGCCAGAACATCACAAAGCGCACTGGGCATGCATTGTCAAGGAAGATCAGCACAAGGTAAAACAGTACAAAGTAAAATCAGTGCTGCCCGGGACTGGCTTCCCGAGCTCACCTCTGACGCCGCTTGGACTTAGCCTGCGGCGTCCCGCGATGGGATTCGTCATGGCACCGTTGGCACCGCCCTCCCGCTTTACAGCCACCTTTCGAGAAGTAGCGGATGCAGACCACCTCGCAGGGGCAGGCAGGCATGTCGGTGTCGGGCGGGGCGGTAGACGAGCAGGCCTCGGAAGGCTTCGCAGCGGCAGGCTGGGAAGCTGAGCCGGCACCTGGGCCTCCTGAGCTAGACGCGGCTGCGCCTGCAATGGGGCCCTCGTCCAAGTAGTCCAAGGCCTCCGCCTCGTCCACGGACTCGTCCTCCTCTTCCTCCTCCTCGGCCTTGCCGTACCAGCGATCAATATCGGCCATGACCGATTCCGCCTCGAGGATGTCGTGCTCGCGCTCCGCGGCGGAATCCACCTGGGGCCACGGCTGGGGATGCGTCCAGTGTTCCGGCCTGTACCCGTAGAGCTCATCCATGTCGAAAGCAGCAAGAGTCTCGGGCGTGGGGCCATAGTCGAACCAGACGACGTTGACGGGATCCAAGGCGATGGCCTCGGGCTCGTAGTCATCGTCCTTGGGGTGAGTACGTGAATCATCACGGCGGACCTCGACCGCGACCCTGCCTTTAGGCGCGTGGCCGGCCACCCACCCAAGCCGCCCATTGAGGGTCCGGCCTCTCTGGCTCGTGAGCCCGACTATTTCCACGAACTCGCCAATCAGCCTCCCGCATTCCAGGCGAGCCCTCCCGTTCATATCACCACCGATCAGGCCGTTGCTGCCGACAAAATGCGAGAAAGACTGAAAGACTGCATCCGGCTGAGTGTCATTCCCCATCAATGCATGAATGAGGTGATTGTGCTGAGAATGCGTCAGGCGCGTAACACAGAAGAAAATCCAATCCCCGATGAGGCGTAAAGCCGTGGTGAGAGATGCCGCGAAGGCGATCGCTAACATGACGGTGCACGTCGAAGCGTATTCAGCATCAAGTGCGACGAGAGCCCGCCTCACCACCAGCACGTCCGTCACCTTGCGAAGCTCTCGCGGACGTACTGGGTCAGCTGCGCGATGGAGACCCCCACAGCGAGCTGGCGGTGCGCAAGCTCCCCCTCGCGCCACACGTCTCATGAGCGGACGCAAGAATCCCCTGACAGCCAAATCCTGGTTGAAAGCAAGTGTGGGAGACCACTTACATTTGTCCAGAAACCTGGAGGGGAAACTTGTGAGCCAAGTCGACCACAAACGATTCGGCAACCTGAGCAGGTGAGGAGTCCGTGACCAGTCAAGCCGCCTCCAGCCACAGCAACATAGCGGGCACGGGCCCACGGGTGCGATCAAGCCACTTCTTTCCCTTGGACGACCTAAGCAGGGAAACCCCAGACTTACAAACTTTGCTGAGGGTCGAAGGGTTCAGAGCATCTTGATGTCTGGGAGGTCTATGCCTACAAATGCCAGTGACACGCCACCACTCCCAGCAATACCGTTTCAAACAATCACCTGCTAGACTGATTGGGACTCCCGTGCCTTCGATGGCCCACCTGAAATCCCAATTGCACCACTTCTTGATGACTCCCCGCTGAACGCTTAACCGTGAACAACTGGCTGGTGGTGAGCCCGTATACGCTCATGCCGTAAGAGATGGCGGGGAGGATGCACGCCTTGAAAGGGCGCTGCTTGAGTTCCCTGGAGACTTCGAGATCCAAGACATTGGAGACCCGATGCTGGAATTTTCTAACACGCTTCTTCTTAATGATACTCGCGAAAGGCCGCAGCTTGTGCTTGCCAGCCATGAAACTGAACCCCAAGTTGCCTGTAGCTTTGGCCCGCTGTCCAGCCAGGTACCCGAGCCGCGCCTTGACCAACTTCAGAAGCTCTCCTCCTCCTCCTCCTCCTCCTCCTCCTCCTGCATTTCCTCTTGCATTCATGTTGATTCGTGGCGTTGGAGTCCCGAGAATGGTGTTTGGGCACGCTTCAGGGTCTTCAAACCGTTGTCTCCCAACGAGGCAGTTCCCTCAGTGGAAATGAACCCTTGTAGGGGCCTGTGAAGAGGGAGCTTGGAGGAAGCGTTTATTCCAACATCGTTGATGAGTCTTGGGTTTACACTGGTCCTCCTCCTCCTCCTCCTCCTCCTCCTCCTCCTCCTCCTCCTCCTCCTCCTCCTCCGAAGACCTCCCGCTTGAACCGTGGCAGGCTCGTGGGGCGCGCGCGCCTCTCGACGAGAGCTCGCGGAGAGGCGCCACTCGGGGGGCGCTCCGGCGCTCGGGCCTCGGCGCCCGAAGGCCTCGATTCTCCCGGGGGGCTGCACGCAAGACCTGCAGCGAAAACGTATCGTAAGGACGCGCGGCAGGGACGCAAGACCCCTGGGGGCCGAAGTTGAAGTATGCTGGCCCGCGAAAACTGCGAGGGACGGGCCGCAGGGGCTGAGGCAGGCAAGGACCCAAAGGGTACCCTTGCAAAAGTCGTTTGTCCATACTATGCGCGTTGACTGTACCGCCTCTTCCGGTTAAAAGCTAGGCGGGCCACGCAAAGCTCTAATTGGGGAGACAGAGCACAGGCGGGCGGGGCCTCAGGCGGCCGGAGGGCGGGCCGGGGTGCAGGCGGTGCCGAGGAGCTTGCACAGGAAAAGGAACGCCTTGGACAGGAGCCGGAGGCGAAGTCCCGGAGGGTGATCCACAAATACCCACTTTCAACGACCGATCGGTATGATGCTTCTGGCGCCCCGGGCGGCATGCCGGGCCCCCAGAATCGGTGGCCCATCCCTGCCTCCCCACACCGTGGCCCCCCATCGCGGGCCCCCCCAGGCAACAGCCCTCGTTGTCCTCCTCCTCCTCCTCCTCCTCCTCCTCTCCTCCTCCTCCTCCTCCTCCTCCTCCTCCTCCTCCTCCTCCCTCCTCCTCCTCCTCCTCCTCCTCCTCCTCCTCCTCCTCCTCCTCCTCCTCCTCTCCTCCTCCTCCTCCTCCTCCTCCTCCTCCTCCTCTCCTCCTCCTCCTCCTCCTCCTCCTCCTCCTCCTCCTCCTCCTCCTCCCCCACAGCCGCTGCCCACCATCGCGAACTGAGCAAAAAGCTGTGCAGGGCCCTCTGCCGCCAGGGCGTCGTCATGCCTCTTGTGCCGCTGCTTGCTGTTCGAGGGGCGGGGCACACTCCTCCACGGCCCCCAGGCGCTGCTTCGGCGAGGAGCCCCGTCGAAGGCCGGCAGCGAAGCCCGCTGGGAAGTCCGGGGGTCCTTCTCGGTGAAGCCCTGCTTCTCGCCCCACGTGGTCATGATGTCCTCAGGCCCGCGCCCCCCTCCCGCCCGGCCGCTCCCGCCGGCCCACGCCCTTCCCCCCTTCCCCGGCCCCCTGCAGGGCCAATGCGGCACCGAAGCGGGAAAGCGGATCGGATCGGAGCGTCCTGGAGAAAGGGCCACATCGGCACGGATCGACTACACGCAAGAGTGACCCTGGGTAAGAGTGACCTTTGGTGCGCGGCTTTTGGGGGCCGCGGGGAGACCAAACCTGGGCGCGCAAGCCGCTGCTACCGCTTCGTTTTCAGCCATCTGAGGGCCCATCTGTGCCCGCACCAAAGGTCACTCCGGCGAAAGGTCACTCTTACGTCTAGTCGAACGGAGCCAGAGTCGCGTCGGATCCAAATCAGCGGCGCCGGCATGCACAGCACCGCCACGCGACCATCGGGCCGCACCGGAGCGGCGGCACACCGGGATCGGATCGGATCTGGCCAGCCGGATCGACGGTCGAAGCGGGTCGGCTGGACCGAAGCGGACCCTGCCCAACACCCCTTGCCCCTCTCCTCCACTTCTATGTTCCCCTCCTCTCACCCCTCCCCCGTGCCCTGTCTGAGCGAAGCTGGGGCAGCTGCTACGCAGCCAAGTAGCACTCACATGGCTGGAAGATCTGAAGACATCCTTCCCCCCACCCAACCTCCAATCCCTCTGCAAACAAGCACCACTTCCAAACCTCCCAACCCCCACCCACACGTCCATCCCCCCTTTTTCCTGCCCTACCTCCCTCCCTCCCTCCCTCCCTCCCCTCCCTCCAGTGAAAGAGGCTGCCAAGAGATGCAAAAAGACAGAAGTGACTGATGGGGACTGGGAAAACGGAGTAGGCAAAGGACGCAAATGACGCTACGCAAGTGATGTCCAATGTGTAGCATCGGTAATAACATTACTACTACGCAGACGACTACCACTACTATTACTACTACTACTACTACTACTACTACTACTACTACTACTACTACTACTACTACTACTACTACTACTACTACTACTACTACTACTACTACTACTACTACTACTATACTACTACTACTACTACTACTACTACTACTACTACTACTACTACTACTACTACTACTACTACTACTACTACTATTACTACTAATTATACTATTACTTCTACTTCTGCTACCACTACTACAACTACGACTACTACTACTACTACTACTA